TTTTATTGTTTATTTTTTTTAAACATTTTATTAGGGGCTCATACAACTCTTATCACAATCCATACACACATCAATTGTGTAAAGCGCATTTGTACTTCATTCTCAAAACATTTTCTCTCCACTTAAACCCCTGGCATTAGGTCCTCTAGAATTCCATTTTTCCATGTATTTTTGGAAGTCCCATGTAAGTAAATTCTTAAATTTCACAATTTTGTTGCCTAAAGATTGGTATTAAAAAACTAAACCATATAAGCTTTAATCAGCAGCAAGACAAAGTAGTACTTCTAGCATTGTAAGATAATTATGTAGCACATGAAAAACATCACTTAATGTATTATCAAATACCCATTAGAAATGGGTCCCTGTATTCTGCTAACCCTCTAGAATACAGCTTGGCAGGGGTTGTGGATTGCTCCATGAAACAATCATCAGATGTTAACTTGTAAAGCTTCTCTGCCACTCAATTGCAAACACATAAGACACAATTCCAGCTGCCACAAAACTTAAAAGGGTTGAATTAAAACACAATAAATTATTTTAGTTACCTGGCATTCATTCTACTTCTCTTATTTTTCATCATTTTGTCTATACTCTTAACTGGTAGGCTACACCAAATTATCTGGATGTTAATTATTCAAGCACCAAATTATCTGGATGTTAATTATCCTTTTTCCTCCTAAAGACAATTTTACAACTAATTCAAGCACAGCATTAAGAAACTACTAAGAATAAAAAATCACATAACTAGAAAACCAACTATTAGCATGGGCTTAACTGGTGTCATATTATGTACAAAGAAAAATCAATTTACGAGAGGTAATTGACACTGAATTTAGCAGTACCAATGTGGCATCCAAAACCAAACCCAACTCACAGTGACCCTGTATGACAGAGTAGAACTCCCACAGTTTCCAAGTCTACTGCCTCATCTTTTTCCAACAGAAAGATGGCTGGTGCTTTTAAACCACAGAGTTTTGGGTTAGCATCCAAGTCCTTTAACCGCTGCGGCCAGGGCTCTTTCATGCGAATTGCATAGAATAAACCACCTGTGAAACATGTTTTTCTCAACAGCATATCAATATATAGAATATACATGCATCATATAAGAATGTTAATACATAGCAACGTAGATCAACAGATTTTTATAAAGAGCTACAAGACATGTCAATATTTTAAGGATTTAGGGCCACATGATCTCTGCTGCAACTACTTGGCTCAACTATTCAGAAATTAGTATAACACTGAAAACCACAAACTACACATACACAAAGACCCATGGCTGGGTTCCAAGTGAAAATTTGAATTTCACTTATCACAAAATAAAATTCTTGAGATTCTCCTCTACCCCTCCCTTAAAAAGCAAAAATCACATTATTTCATGATCCAAACAAAAAAAGGTTGTGGGCAAAGATCACACTCCTTTAGGTTGTCAACTCCCTTAGGTCCCCCCCAACCGCACAACAGTTTTATTGGTATATTAATTCACATATCGTACCATTCAGTAGTTCAATCACATCAAGAAAAGTTGTACAATCATCACTACAATACATTTTTGAACATTTTCATTCTTGTACTCATCATTATTAGCTCCCAATTTCTTCCCAAACTCCCCTGCCATACCCACAACTCCTATATTTTTTATGATGATCAAGGATTGTAACCTTTAGTATGGATAAGTAAATATAAAGAAAAACAAAATCCTCACAACTGAACCAGCAGGTAACATCATGACGAATGGAGAAAAGATTGAGGCTGTCAAAGTTTCATCATGCTTCAATTCACCATCAATGCTTATGGTAAAAGCAGTCAAATCAAATGGGGGGTGGGGGGTGGAGAGAGGAACTGATACCAAGGCTCAAATAGAAAGTAAATGCTTAGAAAATTATATTGGTAACATATTTAGAAATATGCTTGATATGATGTATGGAATGTTATTAAGAGCTGGACAAGCTCCCAATAAAATTATTTTCAAAAATTAACAACGAAAGTGCAATAGAAGAAAAAAAATCAGATGACACCTTGCAATATATAATCTGCTAAACAAACCATTTTAAGCTGTTAAATTACAAGGATATTATTTTGAGGACTAAGATAATCCTGACCCAAGTCATAGTATTTTCAATTACTTCCTATGCATGCGAGAAGTTGGACACTGAAAAATTATGGAAGAAAAATTGATGCATTTGAGGTATGGTATTGGTGAAGAATACTTAAAAATACCATGGACTGCCAAAAGAACAAATCAAACCTGTTCTTAGAAGTACAGCCAGAATGCTCTTTAGAGGTAAGGATAGCAAGACTTCTCACAAACTTAGAACATGCTCTTAGGAGAAGAACACCATGTTGGTACAGTGGAGGGGTAGCATCTTTGAGGTCCTCCAGACTTTCCTTAAATCACATGAGCCATCTAAAAACTGATGCTTTATGTAGGGCAGAATTTCTGTCAACTTACTGCAATGCTTCAAAGATTTAGGGAGCTATTCATTTAAGTTTTGATAAATCAAGCTCTAAAAATTGTCATTTTCCATGACACGGAAAGTATTTCTTTTGTTTTCTGAAGGTAGCCTAAGATTAGTAAGACAAGTATAAACAGACAGAACAGGTCTGTAGCCATCTAATGGTTACAGAGACATATTTAAACACTGTTTAAAATAAGTCTGTGCCATTAGGCCTCTACTCAAGTACTCCCTCAATGCAAGAATACTTTGTTCTGCTAAACTGGCATTCTATGATATTCACCTTCCCAACACAATCGCTGAAGACAAAGCAGGTGAATAATTAAATGTGGTGAGGAAAGCTGATGGTGCCTGGCTATCAAAAGATATAGCGTCTGGGGTCTTAAAGGCTTGAAGATAAACAAGCGGCCATCTAGCTCAGAAGCAACAAAGCCCACGTGGATGAAGCACACCAGCCTGTGCGATCACAAGGTGTAGAAGGGATCAGGTATCAGGCATCATCAGAACAAAAACGGAGGAGACGAGCCTGTCAGGGTGCGATGTAGCAAGGATGAAACGTACAACTTTCCTCTAGTTCCTAAATGCTTCTTCCCCCCGCCCCCAACCCTCACTCTATCATGATCCCAATTCTACCTTACAAATCTGGCTTGACCAGAGGATGTACATTGGTACAGATAGGAACTGAAAATCCAGGGCGGATGATCCCTTCAGGACCAGTGGTGTGAGTGGCGATACTGGGAGAGTAGAAGAAGGGTGGGTTGGAAAGGGCGGAACTGATTACAAGGATCTACATATAACCTCCTCCCTGAGGGACAGACAACAGAAAAGTGGGTGAAGGGAGACGTCGGACAGTGCAAGATATGACAAAATAATAATTTATAAATTATCACGGGTTCATGAGGGAGGGAGGAGCATGGAGGGAGGGGAAAAAATGAGGAGCTGATGCCAGGGGCTTAGGTGGAAAGCAAATGTTTTGAGAATGACGAGGGCAATGAACGCACAACTGTGCTTTACACAACTGATGTATATATGGATTGTGATTAAGAGTTGTATGAGCCCCTAATAAAATTATTTTTTTTTAAGTGTGCATATATGAATTTGAAACCTAGAAGCAGTACTTTATGATTTACTTTCATACATTACTAGAAAGACATTCCTAGTGGTTCTACCATAAACAAACAATAAACAAAACAAAAAATTTTATCACACTGTTAATAATTACACTGGTATTACTAGTTGATACTATTACTAGTTGATAGCTAATAGTGCTAGTATAAATCCAATAGTAATAAAACTAAGGTGAGAACCAAGCTAGTAAGTCCAAAAGCTATAAAGGAAAACTAACTTGTATTTTACTTAAGAATATATTTTTATTCTAAGGCAATAATTACAAGACAAAAGAAAGTGGTTTGACATCTAATGTGAAAAACTAGTATCAAGTAAAGGGCTAATTCTCCCAAAATACTGTTATTTTATCAAACCTAAAATATGATACACCATTATAATATGTTCTGCTGTGTTCCTCCCAAATGGGACAATTAAACCTACTCTAAGATTTCAGAGATGTGAAACATTTATAATGCATTTAAGAATCAATAGGAAGAATTTCTATGACTGGATAATAGTCCAGAAACCAAACACAAAAAAGAGAATTATGAAAGAGGAAATAGAAATTCCTGCACATATGAAAAAGAATTCAGCCTCACTTACAGATATGCAAATTTAAAATGCACTGAGATACTAGGTTTTCGTTTTTTAATACTAGTTTTCACTGGCAAGATCAAAAGTTGAAAGTGCAGTGACAGCAAAAGAGGGGGGAAAACATCAGGTACTGCTGACAAAAGTATAAATTGAGCATAATAAAATTAGAAATGTGTCATCTTAATACTCCTTATTCTCTGAAAGCATCCTACCACTATGCTTGTATGTATGCAAAATAACCCTCATAGGCAGCCAGCTTGCTCAACTCTGCAGTAGGGATCAAAAAACAAACAAACATGTGTTTTGGAGTTTGTGTTTTGAAAAACCAAATCCACCTACATGATGAAAGATAATAGTACATCAAACAACAGAATACTACGCATCCCCTGAGAAGAGTAGTTTTATGAAGTCTCACGGACTGGTTTCCAAGATAAATTATGAAAAAGGTAAGAAATGAAAAATGTTTTCAACATGCTCCCAAATTGTTTAAATGGGTTATGGTGAAGTATTTTCTTTGTAATGCACAAAATATCTCTAGAAAGATAAACAAATTTAAAAACGTTTCCGTCTGGGGTAGGAAAGTGGATAATGGACTCATGCATAGATATAAAACTCTTCTTTTAGAGTAATAGGTTTTAATATTAAGATCTAATTTTTAAAAATCTTAAAAAAGCTAAAGGAACACTTGCCTTTTTTCCTTTTGAGGTCTCAGAATCCTCGTCTTCATCTACACTTAGTAGATTTGCCCCACTACACAGAAAATAAGGGGGGGGGGGAAAGTCTTAAATAACAATTATAACACATACATTAAATTCAAAAGGAATTTTGAATTTCTTTAAGCTCACTTAATTTAAGAATCGGCAAGCTTTCTCTGTAAAGGGTCACATAGTAAATAATTTACACTTCACAGGACAAATGGCTGGATAGCAATTATGTAATTCTGCCATTGTAATGAGAAAGCAACAATAAACCACCAAAGAGGGTGATTTTAAGAGTTCATGGAAAAATTCTATTATTTTTCATTTCACTTTTCAACTAACTTTTTGAAGCCTCCTTATATGTGGTTGTGCTGCAAGGAAAAATGTTTAACAAACATAGTTAGCAGCAGGTAAACCAGGTTTGGCTCATAAGCTACAATTTGCAAATCCCTGCCTTAAATGAACACAATTATTTTTAACTATGCATTTTATATAGGTTTACTTATTTTTCACTTCCTGTCCTACAGTGATGATTAGGGGATAAGAAGAGAAAAAAAACATAGAAAAAAACTCTTATTAATGAAAGTGACATAATTCTGGTAGTATTGTCACAGTAAAATAAACAGTCCCGAAAACATCAAAGCATTACCAAGAATCACTGGTTTGAAATTTTGAAAGAACAAAATAGTATCTATTAATAGTTAACTTAATCTCAACATGTTCTAAATGTTGGGGCACCTAAAGGCCCAATTAAGACAATAAACAATGCTCAAATCATAAGTGAAATGTATATAGCTATGGACATCTCAAGTTGTTTACATAACCACAACAAACCTGCCAGCACAAAAAGTCAGATATACCTTCTACAGACATTCTGCTGGCTATTTAGAGTAAAATAATAGCTGCTTATAATAAAAGTGTAAAATGCTTTGCTTCACTACTGGTTATAAAAAGGGATTTCAAACAGTTCGTGGAAAAATGAAATTGACAGATTTTGACATTTTTCCATGTACTTACTGAAGACCTCCTTAAATGCATTCCAAGTTTTCTAGTGCTACAAATTCTCTCCTTCCACTTCTACAAATATGTTTAAAAGGTGGTGCACTTTCTGTTCAGGTAAGAGTAATTTCCATTTAGAAAAAATATTAATACTAAATGAATCCCCCAAATTTTGTTAAATTAAAAAATATCAAAAGGAAAAAGAATGAATGAAAGCTATAAAAATGAAAAATTTACCAGTTAAAGCTCTCGTTTAAGTATAGCTTCACTTTAGGTCAACATCTCAAAAGGTTGTAGTAATCATGAAGAGTTATTGCCCATACAGAAGCAAGCACCTACAATATTTTTAGCCAGTATACTCTGAACAACTTCTGTGCAAACATTTCCTTAAAAGAACTTTTTTTCTTAAACAAAAGTTTTGTTAAACTTTGTAAGAATATTGATAGGTCTCTAAGTCTGTTGTTTCTCTGGTCTGTGGAAAACCAGATCAATAAGCACACAAACAAAAAAATGGTAATTTTAAGATATGCAAGACAAGTCTCCACCAGACAAAAAGATTCTTCTGAAACTTTGATGTAAAATTGTTACACTCATTCCAAGTACATTAACAATAAATCCAAATATTTTTAAAAAATCTTCTGTATGGGTATATATTTAATATTTATGTTACTAATTTCTGTATAAATCTAAGATTTATGAGCAGGTGGATGGTCTAAGGAAGGAAAGAAGATACTATCAAACTTAAATTTCCACACAAAAGTCAGATGTTTTAATCTAGGCTCTTTTATTCATGATAAATAGCTTTTCAAATCACTGCCTGAGTAAAATGTCATTTTTACATGAAGGAGAGTTCTTTTAAATTAGAAACCTTCTGTAGTATGGACAAGTATACTTATAAATTTTCATGTATCACAAATGTATAAATATATATTTCAAAAGACCGAGAAGTAAATTATTTATAAATTTAAAACTTATTTGTTTGATAAAGAATTGCTTTTACTATCCTAATGCTACTATAAAATAATTCAATGTTTTGGTAATATATTATTTAAAATACTTCCATGAAATATAAGTTGTTTTTCTAATACAAACTTTAATTCTTATAAAATATCGAAGAAAAAAAGGATCCTTACTCTTTATCTGTATCTCCTTCACTTTCTTCTCCATGATCAAAGCTCCAATTATTTTTAAAACCTCCATCTCTCTTACACTCTGATCTAGCCAAAGCTGAAATAAAAACAAACTGAAATAAGTATTCATTAATAAAACCGCTCAATATAAAAATCAATGAGCATTTCCCAAACCCTCTTCCTATTCTAGTCTCTTATAATTTGCTTGCCTTTAACCATTTCTTGTAACCATATTCCCTACATAAAGAGTACATTAAAATTTTACTAGTAAAAAGATAAAAAATTTACTAGTATTAAATTACAGTCATCATGTATATATTATATACAGAAAGAAATTCGAATACATATGATTTTATTAAAACAGGAGGAAGGCACACAAACATGTGAAATAAATAAAAACCAACCCTAAATCTTAACCATATCATTGATTCTACAATTTTGTGACTTAGTATGCTTGCTTTAATGCATAAGAAGTAACTAGACCATCCTTTCCCTTATGTCAGCCAGCCATAGCTGCCTTTTAACAGAAGAAAAGCAAAATAAGGTTTTCTATATAGGCAATATGGCACACTTATTTCCATAAAATCTCTCCAGATGAGCCCAAATACAAGCTTCAAAAGTTTCATGGAAAAATGGAGTGAAAGATTAAATTTTTCTACAAACTTTTGAAGCAATCTTTTATTGCTCATAATGGAGTTTAGAAAATTTTAAGGCTCACAGTTGACGTCCTAAGAAATCATAAAAAAAAAAATTAGAAAACAGAAATCTAGATAGATGGATAAAGTTGTTCTGGCCTAGTGTGTAGTTTTAACAAGATCAAGTTCAAGGTTTCAGCAAGATGAGGTCAGACTGAAGATTTAAAGACCAGAAGGACAATACTCCTTTTGTATGATGCAGCATAGTGACTAGCTAATTATGAACCTAACCTTTCTAATCAATGCTTTTTTAACTCCCACCAAATGACTGAGTAACTCCTACCAAATAACTATGCAAATATGAGGTGTGTATGGCCCACCAAAGGGATTGGATAGCTTAATAATGTAAATGAATGATGGGGGGAGTGCGGAGTGGAGACCCAAAGCCCATTAGTAGGCCACTGGAGATCCCCTTGCAGAGGGGTCTAGGGGAGGAGATGAGCCAGTCACAGTGCGATGTAACAATGATGAGAAATACAACCTTCCTCTAGTTCCTAAAGGTTTCCTCCCCACTCCCACTACCATGACTCGAATTCTATCTTGCAAGACTGGCTAGACCAGAGGAGGTACACTGGAACAAATAGGAACTGAAAATAAAGGGAATCCAGGACGGATGAGCCCTATAGGACCAGTGGTGTGAGTGGCGAAACAGGGAGGGTAAAGGGAGAATGGGTAGGAAAGAGGGAACCGATTACATGGAACTGTGTGTGACCTCCTCCCTGGGGGACAGACAACCGAAAAGTGGGTGAAGGGAGACGTCGGACAGGGCAAGATATGACAAAATACCCATTTATAAACTATCAAGGGCTCATGCGGGAGGGGGGAGCGGGGAGGGAGGGGAAAAATGAGGACCTAATGTCGGGGGTTTAAATGGAGAGAAAATGTTTTGAGAAACGATGTACAAATGCGCTTCACACAATTGATGTGTGTATGGATTGCGATAAGTTGTATGAGCCCCTAATAAAATGTTATATAAAAAACAAAAAACAAAACAAAAAAAATAATGTAAATGAGACGTATGGCCCCTTAACATTAGGTTTGTCGGTTCTGCCATCCTGCTCAGTTTAAAATGAGCCAGCCAAGAGGCAGAAAGGGAGATAATCTCACTATCATAGAGAGCCAGGAGTAAAGTCTGTCATTGGGAGCTGAGATGCTGCACTGAACTTCTTCCTCAACTCAAAAAACAGAGAACTGTGACATCAGAGACAACAAAAGATGACAAGAAGCAGAGGCAGAAATACAACGGTACCAGAGGGTGGAGAATGCTGAGCCAGGGTGACCTGTGAGAAGACGAGAAATGGACTTTCTCGGTCATAGAACAAGAAACTTAGTGTCAAAAAAAGAAGAAGAAAAAAGAAAAGAAATGGAGGGTCTTTTGGGAGGAGGCTTGCTGGTAGAGTGGGGTACCTCCCAAGCACTTTAAATGGTGGAACTAAATTTGCTACCCCAAGGAGCTGGAGCTGAGTAACGTCAAGTCCATATACACTAGCAGAGTGGGGGCCTTTGTACATTTAAGGACAGAGGAGGGCAGAGCCAAGGGGCCATGGGGCCAGAGTATCAGTAGATGTGGTTGGGAAAAGACTGTCTCTATTAAGAGAACTGTACCTTAAGCATTTTTCTTTTTTTTAAATAGTAAATAAGTTTTATTAATAGTAAAAAAGTTTTAAATTTCATTTGGTTCTGTTGTGATGTCCTTATGCATTTCTGACCAAGCGCACCATCAGCAACTTTCTATATCTGAAAAGGAGCATGAAAATTTTTAAACAAATATCACACACACACCCCTTTTAACAGGTATTTCCAACTAGCATGAAATTCTAAACTATAGGAAAGATTGTAAAGATAGTGAAGGCCCTGGCAGTATTTCACTGTTGTGCATAGGATTGTACTATGAATCAGAAGCAACTTGATGGAATCTAGCAATGAAGGTTTTAAGTGGTCAGGAGCATGACGAAAAAAACAAGTGGAAACCAGTAGAAAGGTCTGAGGGGCTGGCCTCAATCCCAACTACATGGATAGCTGCCCCTCCCCCCAGAAGAATTTACTTCAGAGGACAGCACTGAAGCTACAGCTCAGGGAGAGGGACGTGTCTGATCGGAGCACACAGGAGCAAATGAAGGGGGAGGAAGAGAGAGGAGCACATCCTAGCCCACCAAGCCTTGAGGATGATATCCCTGCTCAGAGCAGAAAATGCAGAGGACCATATGGCGGGCCCCAGGAGACATGACATCCCTCACTGACCCATAATCCTACAGGGGACAACACTGGAGATCGTGTGGGAATTGCACCCAATCTGACGCCACCACACAGAGGAAAATGTTAAGGACATGCAACAGAACAGCAAAAGGAGCAGAGCAAGGAAGTCCCGAGGGAGTACCAAAAATAGACTTTGGGGCCAGGGTGTGGCACTCCATCAGAAGACTCCACCGGATAACACTCCTAAAGGTCAAGAAACAGACCTTGAACTATTTATAGGCTTTTCTCTTTTTTTGCCATTGATTTTTGTTGTTTTGTTTTGCTGTCTTGTTTTTGTGGATGGTTTTATCTCTGCAGGTCTATCTAGATAAGACAGGCTGGATAAAAAATCCAGAGGAGAAAACAACGGGACCAACGGTTTCGGGGAGATATGGGAGAGAGGGAGGTAGGGGCAAGGAAGTGGTGTTAACAAACCCAGAGAAAAGGGAACAAGTGATCCAAAATCAATGGCCAAGAGGGTGTAAGAGGCCTGGTAGGGTTTGATCAAGGGCAATGTAACCGAGAGTAATTAACTGAAACCCAAATGAAGGCTAAGCATGATAGTGCGACAAGCGGAAAGTAAAAAGAAATAAAGAACTACAAGACAAAGGACATTTAGAAAGGTCTAAATACAGGCATGTACATATGTAAATATATATATATATGTGATGAGGAAATAGATCTATGTGCATATATTTATAGGTTTAATATTAAGGTAGCAGATGGACATTCGGCCTCCACTCAAGTATTCCTTCAATGGAAGAACATTTTGTTCTATTAAACTGGCATTCCTTGATGCTCACCTTCCTGACACAATCGCTGAAGACAAAGCGGGTACATAAGCAAATGTGGTGAAGAAAGCTGATAGTGCCCAGCTATCAAAAGATATAGCATCTGGGGTCTTAGAGGCTTAAAGGTAAATAATTGGCCATCTAGCTGAGAAGCAACAAAGTCCATATGGAAGAAGCACACCAGCTTCTGTGATTATTAGGTGTCGACAGGATCAGGTATTGGGCATTAAAGAAATAAAAAATCTTATCATTGTGAATGAGGGGACAGTGCGGAGTGGGAACCCAAAGTCCATCTGTAGATAACTGGACAGTCCCTTAGAGAAGGGTCGCGGGGAGGAGACAAGCCAGTCAGAGTGCAGGGTAGCAATGATGAAACATAAAACTTTCCTCTAGTTCTTAAATGCTTCCTCCCCACCCACTATCATGATCCCAATTCTACCTTACAAATCCGGCTAGACCAGAGGATGTACACTGGTATAGATAGGGAATCAGGACAGATGATCCCTTCAGGACCAGTGGTGAGAGTGGCGATACTGAGAGGGTAGAGGGAAGGGGGGGGTAGAAAGGGGAAACCGATCACAAGGATATAACCCCCTCCCTGGAGGACGGACAACAGAAAAGTGGGTGAAGGGAGACATTGGACAGTGTATGATATGACAAAATAATAATTTATAAATTATCAAGGGTTTATGAGGAAGAGGGGAGCAGGGGCAGAGGGGAGGGGGGAAAAATGAGGAGCTGATGCCAGGGCTTACGTGGAGAGCAAATGTTTTGAGAATGATGAGGGTAACGAATGTACAAGTATGCTTTATACAATTGATGTATGTATGGATTGTGTTAAGAGTTGTATGAGCCCCCAATAAAATGACTGAAAAAAATTGGAGACCCTCCATTATCTGAAGGAAATAAGGAAGTTAAAAGAACATATTCTGTACATTGCAAACTAGTAAATGCAGGACAAAAATAGAAAACTCATGATTTGGGAACCATCATAGTAATCACTGAATTAGGCATGAGTCATCAATGGATGAAAAACTAGTGGGTCAGTTTAATAAGAAACAGGATATTTACACTGCCTCAAAGTTAACTCTTAACCAAGAAGAAAAATAGTTATTTTTCAGAGAGAAACCAAACACTATGAGACCCAACCTCATATCCAGATGGGTCATAAGGGACAATTGTGTAATTGAAGGGAAGAAATTAAAAGACAAAGTTTTGGGGTGCTCACCCCTGCCATGGCTTCAGGAACCAGATCCGAGGAACACCAGCTTATATACTCTCAAGGGAGGGGAGGGGAATGCAAGCCCCTCAAATTACCAGTAACCTATGTAAGACAGTGGGCAATACCTAAACCCTGAAAGTCCTGGATTTCATTG